AATAATGTCATAATCCCTGAGACAGAAAAATTAGCTGTAAAAAGATGAGAAAACCTATGGAAACACTAACCAATTGAAAGTCAATGTTGCCATATAAATAAAAATAAAATTGGACTTTTATTATATAGTAATTTTTTATATATACTATATATAAAACTTTTATTATGTAGTAATCCCTGAACCACAACATTTTATTCTAAAGGGAGGCTATAAGTCTCAGGGAGTGAACAAAATTTATAATCTCAGGAAAGTCACAAGTCTCAGGAAGTACTCAAAACTAACAACATTCACAAGGTTCCTACCAAGGTTATGTAAATGGTAACCACTACTGGGGAAGAGAGACTCTCCATTCTGTTAAGCTGCCTGCCAGGGAGCTCCAAGGATTCAGCTTTTGTGAGTCATAGCCCATACTGGGTTGGATTTTTGTGTCCTCCATGCTCCCGGTGGTGACCCCATTCTACTCCCAACCTCATTATACTTGTCCATTTGCCAAGTTGGACTTGAGTAGAGACTTGGGTGGAATCATGTCTTTGGTCTATTGCCAGTGACCTATTTGTGGTGAGTAGATGTCTTTTCTCATCTTCCCAGGAGAAGTCACAGAGCAACTTCAGAAGAAGGACCATGACTAGACTCATAATAAGTATGGTCTGCATTCTCCAGAGAAACATCAATACTTGACAATCTTCTCACTAAATAGCACATTCTTAAAATCCCTTAATATTGACAGTACTGCTAGGGAGAGTAATCAAACCCAAAGTCATGGTGAAAACTTTGATATATCACCTAATTAAAGGTAATGGTACAATCTACTTCCCTTAAAATTTCATTTCCTTGCAGAGGAGTAAAATTCCATTGCGTATCCATGCCACATTTCATTCGCTTGTTGGTTACCATCTAGGGTGGCTCCACTTCCTTGTTATTATGAATAATACAGCAACAAGAAATATTCATGGAGATGGATGGATCTGGAAAGTATTAAATGAGCCCAGGCTCAGAAAAATAAAATCCTCAGATTCTATACTTGTGCAGATCCTAACTTAATGTTTGCATGTGTGTAAACAAGAGGGTGTGAGAGTGGGATGGTCTGTATGTCAAATTGCTCTGATTGCTCACTAAATAAAACATTGATTGGGCAGTGGCCAGGCAGGAAGTATAGGCGGGACTAACAGAGAGGAGAACTGAGAGAACAGGAAGTCAAGGGAGGGGGGGACACTGCCAGCTGCAGCCATGACCAGCAGCATGTGAAGATGTTGGTAAGCCACAAGCCATATGGCAAGGTATAGATTTATGGAAATGGATTAATTTAAGCTATAAGAACAGTTAGCAAGAAGCCTGCCACGGCCATTCAGTTTGTAAGCAATATAAGTCTCTGTGTTTACTTGGTTGGGTCTGAGCGGCTGTGGGACTGGCAGGTGACAGTGATTTGTCCTGACTGTGGGCAAGGCAGAAAAACTCTAGCTACAAGTGGCACCCAATGTGTTGGCAAGAGTTTCCACCTAAAACCTGAGAAAAAAGATTCTAAAATGGAGCTAAAAACACTTCCTAGTTGTTTCTCTCTAGTTAGTGGCAGCCTGAGTGTTTGAGCTACTATGGCAAGTTCCTGACATGTGTTCTAGACCTGCAGTATGGCGGGAATGAGGCCTCTGCAGGTGGCACATTAAGCTGCGTGGTGGATTTAGCCTTTGCTAGTACAAAATCAACAAAAGAAAAAGAGGTTTCTGGGCTACACCCTGCTTTGATAGAAGCATAGACCCACTATTTCTGAGAGTTGATGGCTCCCAGAGCTGGGGGGAAAATGTACCACTGCCATGTTGGGAAGCTCAAGTGGGCAGAGCCAGCAGCCACAGCGTCATTTCAGTCTTAGAATGCTGCCGTTTAAAGCAATAGGCTCAAGGTAATATAAAAAATAATCCACTTAAAGATGTCTATCACACAGAGAATCTGGATTATGTTCTCCTTGATATTCGTAACTGAAGAAAAACACTTGATTGCAAAAGCTGTTGATTTATGCCAAAATGTATATTTTAAAAGTACCTTGACTTCAAAATTTGGATGTAAGGATATGTTGCTTGGGAAAAGAGGCTCTGCTTTTGTTTCCACAGAAAGCCAGAGGCTATGGATTTGTTCCAGATTAAGATACATCAGGTTTGACCAGCCAAGACCACCTGAAATGTCTCAGATGACACCATGGCCCAGATGATCCAACATCCAGAACGGTTTCAAGGCAACTGGCTCTGACGATACACCCTCACAGACTACTACATAATCCTAAAATTTTCTTTGTGTCCCCATAAGATACAGTGCCGCCCCCAGCAGGAAGTAGTAAGAGAAGCTACTCCCAAATTCCCAAATATACCAAGCTGACTTTGGAGATGTGTAAAAGTTAAAACCTTACTTTTTTTTTTTTTTTAAAAAAAAAGAAAAGGGGAAGTGCTGTGGGATGGTCTGTATGTCAAATTGCTCTGATTGGTCAATAAGTAAAACACTTACTGGCCAGTGGCCAGGCAGGAAGTATAGGCGGGACTAACAGAGAGGAGAATTGAGAGAAGAGGAAGGAGGGGGACGGGAGACGGGGGCGGGGGAGTCACAGCCAGCTGTAGCCATGACAAGCATCATGTAAAGATGTCAGTAAGCCACAAGCCACGTGGCAAGGTATAGATTTATGAAAATGGATTAATTTAAGCTATAAGAACAGTTAGCAAGAAGCCTGCCATGGCCATACAGTTTGTAAGCAATATAAGTCTCTGTGTTTACTTGGCTGGGTCTGAGCAGCTGTGGGACTCGTGGATGACAGAGATTTGTCCTGACTGTGGGCCAGGCAGGAAAACTCTAGCAACAGGGTGTAGGCTATGAACTCAATAGGGGACCATGGGAGGGTGTTGAGCGAAGAGCAGGACAAAAGATCACCTGTGACATGAAAGTGGAGAAGATGGTACAGGGGGTGGGAAGAAAGGGAAAAGCATAAACAATTTTGTTTAAAAAATGCCAAGCTTCTGGTTTATTTATTATTTATTTATTCATTCATTCATGCATTTATTTATTTATTTAATGGATGGGTTTTCTGAGTGTGTAAACAAGTGAGTCTCTGTATCTCTATCTGTGATTTTTTTTTTTAAAACTTTTCTTGGGCTCTTTCCCTTCTGTTTGTTCGTTTTGCCCTATTATGACGTGTTATTTTTGTTTCATCTTATTTTATTTTATCATTGTCCCTTAGAGTTCTGTTTGTGTTCTAAGGAGAGACAGGAAAGTGGTGGATTGGAAGGGAGGGAATGTGGGGAGGAGCTGAGTTGAGCAGAGGGAGAGGAAACCATAATTAAGATATATTATGTAAGAAAAATCTATTTTCAATAAAAAGGAAAAATAAATGAGAAAAAAATGCCATAATGAAATCTAGTACTTTGTATGCCAATAAAATAAATGAAAAGTATACAACTCAACCCATGAAAACAACAAGAAAAACAAGGATAATGGCCAGATGGTCATCAACAGAAAATGGAAATGTGGCTGGGTATATATAACGTACTTTTACTCACTTGTAGAGAAACATGAAATTTGAAGGAAAAATGAATACATATCTCATTTTCATTATAGAATATCACAAAGTCTTTGACTGTTGTTTTGTAGTTTGACAGACATTAACAGCCTTGGAGGCCATTAATGATGGACCTTCTTCATAATCCACTTTGGATGCATTCTCCTATTTCTTTGGAGACACCAAAAAGAAAAAGATTGTAATTGTGTTTCCTTAAGATTTTAAAACGCTGTATGAAAAGGTAGAAGTTTCAGGGCTTGGTTGAGGCCCATTTAAGGGAATGTTACTTCCTCCTACTCAGAGGAGCTTCCACTCAGGGTTCTGCTCCGGGCCCTGGGTAGAGACACGGATGGTTAAAAGATTAGACTATTACATATCATTGTCCCCTCCTTTAAGAATTAAACCAACTCCTCAGAAAGTCTGATTCTTCTATAGACATGCTAAAGAGATGGGCAGACTATTTACAATTTAATGAATAATGTGCTTATACTTCCCAGAAGCCTCTGTCTTGACTCAGTTGCTTTCAAATCTCCACTTCTTGTCTACTTTTTGTAGTTCTAACTCAGATAGATTACCCTTCCTTTCTCTCTCTCTCTGTGTCTCTGTCTCTCTGTTTCTGTCTGTCTCTCTGTCTTTCTCTGTCTGTCTCTCTGTCTCTGTCTGTGTCTCTCTGTCTGTCTCTGTCTCTGTTTCTCTCTCTCTCTCTCTCTCTCTCTCTCTCTCTCTCTCTCTCTCTCT